CGGAGCCGCCGCGAGACACATCAGGAACCGCTCTGGGGTCTGTGTCACCAGAGCAGCACAGGCTAAACATGCTGCATTTCAGGAGAGTTTCATGTTAACTTAAAGGCTTTTAAACTTTCTGCTGCTTTTTTTTTTTTTCCTCACCAAAATCCAGCTTTACTGACAACAATGACAACACACGTTATGGCTTACAGGAGCCAACTAATTCTGGACAGCCTACGACATCTCAAATCCTGCTTTTATCAACCTCATCCATTCAAGCTGTATTAGTAGGAGCTACTCTCAGCAATGCAATTGTGTGACATTTAACTGACTGATTTTATGGTGCCTGGTTTTCATAAGCTGCACTAAAGTCTCGCTGTTGGTTCTGCCAAAGGGAGGGCTCTTTTAAAGGCAAAACACTCAGTGTTTCTATTATTTTCAGACTCTCATCTCAAAGAGGTCACATTGCAAAACCATCCCCAAAAGAATTTTTTTTTTTTTAAATTAGTTCGTACATTGTCAGCTTGTAAAGTTGAGAATAATACAGTCCAAACATTTAGATCTGCAGAACAGCAGCTGTTAGTCTTTCTCTGAGAACTGAACTAACCTAAACTCGAGCACTATTAACCGTTACAGCTTCTCAGTCATACCCTACTCATTCACTTGTGTCTGGTTGTCAGGCCATTACTTTACTTTACAAAATCCTGACGCTTTAGAGCTTGGCACTTGGACTATATCCTCAGCACGGTACAGCAATACCACCCTCCCTGGCTAGTCTGCCCCAAATGCCCCTTTCCATAGGGTCTTGGCTATCCCACCAACAGGGACACACAGAATATGCTCAAAATAAATAGACTCAGATCTCACTCATTTAAGTGCAAGTCACCATATAAGAGCTACAGCACAGACCCTGTAAGACTGAAAGCTTTTCATGCACAAAGTTACAGTGCAAAAGGCACTTTGAGGTACAGTTCACAGCTGCCCAGTGAAACAAAAATATTTTGCTCACAGTCAAATACTAACATTACTTGAAAAAAATCTGCATCCCCTGCTACAACAGGAGTTGGAAGAAGTTGCTTAAATCCCAAGCCTGGAGTGACCTCCATTTTCATGGAGAGGAAGTTTCAGAAAAACAGTAGCTTTGGTGGTGGACACCAGAACCACGACAACGCAAAGGCTGGGTCTCATACGGAGACAGACTGGCTGCAGCTGACCGCTTCTCTAGAGAACATCGCATCTCGCCTCGGTGACCACAGGCTAAGAGCCACTGCCAGAAGGGCCTGCGGTCTCTGCCAGAGAGGACCCTGAGAGAGCCTGAAGATCTTGGATGCCTACCCTCCATCACCCTCCTCCCCATAGCCAAACACAAAAGCTTAGCCTAGGCCCTTGAGGAATGAAGCATGAAGTAAGACTGGACAGGGCCTGGACAAAGCTTTCACTATGTGACAGATCCATCCTAGACGGGTGTCTCTGAGCACATGGTTGCAGAGATTAGCTCCACTGATGCTGGACACCGACTCACATTCCTCATCCCAAGGCCTACACTGACAGACTACTCAGTGTGAAACACGCTTCCAGTTCCAAACGACCCACCAATGCATTGCAAAACCTTTCCAGTGCTTGACAATGAGGCAGCTGGACCTGCCACCAGTTCACGGTGCAGTTCCACTGCGGAAGAGGCCAATGCATTTCTCTTACACAGCCAGCTTGCCTTTACTTTCAGGCAGCTTGATTATTCAAGCAATAAGGATGCAATCCTTCAGTTCACTTCCATCCAGGCATGAGCAGCACGTGATTAGACATTCACAGCCCTCATTTCAAGTGTGACACAGTGACATGTACGATCTTTCTTTGGCCATCCTTCAGGATCTTCCTTCAGATAAACTGTATCAGATAAACTGTATTTGTCAGAGCACTGCTTAAATTTCTCAGTGTGAATGTTCTTACAAACAAAAAAAGAAATGAAAGTTTCTTACCAGGAAGTGGTGCTCATCCTCCTTCCTCCCACCCCCATCCAGAAAGTCTAGTGCCACACACATGCCAGTGATATGGGCAAGTCTTGGGCAGGTACTCTTACACAGGTAAGTTTTTAAAGATTTCCAATGATAAAGGTATCAAAGTCCTCCCAAGTCCTTATTACATTTGCCACTGCAATTTTTTTTTTGCCCCAATATTGAACTAAACTATTTCTCACTCTAAAGAGAGCCTATTATTATTCTTCATAGCCACAAAAGTCATGTAACAGTTCTGTAATAATTTCATCAAGAAGACCAAGAGATCACGCAAGTGCAAGGCTCCCCTTTTACATACTTGAAGATTTATGTCTCTATTATATCACAATTCCTCCTGTCCTTCCTAGCAAATCAGGCACTGTAGACTCTGGATCATTCCCTGCTCTCTTCTGGACGGTCTGTATCTTCCTTGAAATGATACCCCAAACTGGGCACACCATTCCATAAACCCAGATTGGAAAAGGAAAGCCAAGTCTCTCTCCTCACAGGCTATACTCTCCCATTACTTGCTTTGGTTTTCTGAAGCAGCAGAAATATTCTAATTACCAGTCTATTTTTTTTCATGAACAACATATCTTCATTCACTCGTGTTCTTCTACCCCAGCCCTACCAGTGCTCCGCCAAGTTAATTTTCACCGACTCACCTAACCATTTTAGCAGCTTCTCTTCGTAGTCATTTCTATTACTTTGCTTTACAGCTAGAGTCATCTATCTTTGAGCGTCTTGGATGACTAATACCTTTGTAAAGTTAAGACTTCCTGATGTGTCCTGAAAATATCTTGCTTCCTCTCACTTAAGACTGTTCCTTCATAGGCGCGTTAGTAGCAGAGAATTACTATTTGATCGATTAGCACACGCAGATCATAGTACAGCTTCTAAATATGTTTTGTTTCCAATGCACTTAACCTGTGACGTTCTCTGCAAAACAAAATTTAGATTATTGTGTGTCTAGTAAGGTTTCCATAATACCAATATTTCTACTGTCTAAGCTTAGTTTTTTGTTTATAACAAAAAAAAAAAAAATTTCAAACTGTTCCACTTGGTAAGGAACATATATGGAACACTGTTACTTTCCCTAAATACTTCTCCCTTAAAGCTTTACGGGAACAGGATGAAATTTTGTCAAATGCTGATCTGTCAGAAGCAACACAATTAACAAACACTTACTGGGGAAAATCAACAGTGTAAATGGCAGAAAGTTAAAGGAGATTTTCAGCCACCAAGCTCCGGTTTTGAGTTTGGATACGTGGTACCCTGATTTTTCATTTTAATTTGGAATTAAAGCTCAAAAACTTATTAGAATCCTGGTATTAAATCAGAATTTGAGTGGTAAATGATTCTTTAAAAAATGCAAGTCCTTAATGTTTCTTGCAACAGACTATGATCACTGCTCTGATTTATTGATATAATTTACAGCCCATTAAGTATCCTTTATTCCAGCATTTTAAGCTTTGTATAAATTTTCCAAAATTATGAAAACCAAAATAGCACATAATGAATAATAAACCTTACTACCTATTTTTCAAATATGAAATCAAACTATATTGAATCCAGGGTGTACAAAAAAAACCCCAAATATGAGAACTCTTAGCCCAATAACGTTAGCTTTTAAGTCCTATTCTGTACTTAAAAACTGGTCATAAAGTATATGCCTCATGTATCTTAATTAGAGGCCTTTAATGTTCTTACTCATTTCAACTTTACCAAGTAAGAGCACTACCAAATACCATGTGTGTTAGTCTGCAGAGTTGGTAAAAAAGGAATTATATTGCAGATGCATATAAATGTACGTGGAAGTTAAGATTAGAAATACTGCTTATTTGAAAATATTAGTAGAATGACTAGACATTTCCTGCAGCAGTAGGCATACTTGTAAGCATATTGTCTTCTATTTATATCTGCAAGAAAGAAAAAATATACCTTGAGTGCAGAGTTTCGTTACTCTCGTCCTTGCTTAATGGTTTCAGATCAATTCTCATTTTCAAAACAAAATTTAAAATTCTTTATATTCTGTATATTCATTAGCTGTAAACCTGCCAGTTTATATGCGATTATCAGCGTGGCTTTTCCTGAAGGTCCGCTAATTTTTTGCTATTGCACACCTGCATAAGCAGCTCTCCAACACAAAAATCCACCTTCATTCTTCAACACACAAAATAGGTAGGATGGTATAAGATTTATTGATATTTTCTTTTACTAAGGCACATGACGTATAGAAATACTGAGGTACAAAAATGCAGTTTCCTGCGTATGAGTTTTAAAACCCCATTTTGACAAAGATGAGCTAAATCTCTTCTGCTCAGGACATTCAGCTTTTAGCCATTTTTTTCTTTTGTACCAGTTCAACAAGCAACTTGTATCTTGCTATACACTCCTCCTAAAAGGAAAAACAGATGTGTGTGTTAATTAAAGTTTGATAATTTAGTATTGCTTTAACTCTATACATGCTACTTCATTCTAGAAGAGCTAGGTTCTGAGGGTTGGGGGGAGGTTTGGAAGGGGTTTTTTTGGGGTGGTTTTTTTTTTGTTTTTTTTTTTTTTTTTGTTTTTTTTTTTTTTTAATTAAAAGTGGTGCACTGAATTGCAGAAGGAGAATCTACATCTAGTGCAGAGTATGGATTAGAAAAAACGAACTTTCAATTTACATTTTTTAATGGATAACTCCTCTCTTTACATACAAACTCAAGAATCTTAACAGTTACCCAGTATTTCTTGACAATGACTGTAAAAGCAATTATTAAACAGTTCCAATATCTATTTCAGAGCAGTTATTCTGGTACAAGCCACGCTGCAGATAGGTTACCCTGTTAAAGACAAGCCTTTATGGTTGCTAACAGAGCACCTACTGACACCAGATACTGTTGAACAGCTTCAGAGCCAGAGGAACACTCAAATCTCCCCGCCACGTTTCCTGCTCTCTGTGCTGGTTTTGGCACAAATAAAATTAGGATTTTCTGCAGCTACAATGACTGAAGCAAGCACACTAATCTATCACAACTATTATGGAATCTAACACAGACCAACTATATCACTGACAACAAACGCTATTTTAAAAAGATTATACTTACAAAAAGAACATTAGATAGATTATTGAGCATTTAACACTTGCAGATGGATTACTTATTTTGTTTGTTCATTGAGGTGGGTTGAGAAAGGTATTGTAAAAGTGTAAGCAAAGCGTCTCACCAACATTTGGTTACTAACTTTGAATCAAAATTTGTTTAAAAATCTAATTTGTCCTGCAACTGAAGATCTGAAAGGCAGAGGAGAGGTAGGTATTTTAAATGAAACAGGAGGTATTTCAACATTTTCTGTAATAGAGCAAACAAACTGAATTAAATGAAAATATACTTTAAATATAAACAGCAAACATGACAGTAATGCACTTTAGGTCGATTATGTCTGGACTGATAGGCTAAGTAAAGACCTCACCTTTCTGCATGGACCCCCAGTTCTTAAGGTAATCAGAAATTGGTAGAAAATATGTTTCCCCTTGATTTATACAATTAAAACTAAACATACCTTGCTTTTTCCAGGAACACATTTTGCTATTTTATCCCAGCGATCCGATGTTCCCTTTGGATACTGCTGCAAGGCCATTTCAAGAAGTTTCTGTTGATTTTGAGTCCACAGTTCTTCAGGGGCACGGCTCTTCTCTCTTTTTCTGCTCTCATCATCACTCTCTTCCTCTTGCTCAGTGTTATCAAAATCCTTCTGGCGTCTTCCTCTGCCCTTCTCTTCTGGTACCTCTTTTGCTGCTAGTGAAGTCATTTCAGGTGCTTTGATAATTTTTCGTTTGCGGTGTCTAGTTTCACTTCCAATGGTTTCCTTTTGATCTGTTTGGACATCTGTCTGCTCTGGGATGTGATCGTAGTTCCCCTCCTCCTCCTCCTCTTCTTCCTCCTCCCTTTCTCGCTGGGTGATTATGTGATCTGGCAAATTCACATTGACTTTGACGTTCTTGGAATTCTGGGCCAGTGTTTTAAGCTCTGAGAGTCTAATGATACCTGTTAGAAGTATTGTTGTTACACTTGTAAAAAAATAAACCAAACCACAAACAAGCAGGGAACTGCCTGCAAATAAAAGGTACCCAGAATAGAACAGAGAGGAGAAAAAGCTCTTCTGGGTTAAGAGCTTAAGAAAATGCTTATCGAGAAATCAGGGTATTTGTTAGGAAGCAATGAACTTTGCCAACTATGAGTTTACCTGGTATATGTGAAGTACTAGTAAATTACCACATGGATATAAACGAACAGAAGAACAGAACAGCGTGAACAAATGAACAGAACCCACAATAAACTGAGTAAGAATAAACTAAGCTAAAGGGAAACATTCCCTCAGAATACCCATCAGTTCTTCTCTTTGCTCAAAGTAAGGCAGGGTTGCAAAAGACCCTCTGCAAAGCATACCCTGAAGGTACAAAATGCACTCCATTCGCATAGCTATAATCCAAATACAGTGCTTGTTATAAGCATCAGTGAGGATCTAGTAGCACACACCTGGTGTATATGTAACAGAATCCTTCAGTTGCTTGGCTTTCATTGTAACCTGCATGAAAACAACAACAAAAAAAGGACTATTTAAAAATTACATTAGTGGGGCTACTGAAAAATTCATTAGCAGCTTACTGAAAAATACCACCATTGAACATACATTAAATACAGCGAGGCTTTGTTCTTCTGCTGGCTTTGTTCATACATGGATCCCAAACTGGCAAAAAGTAACTTTGTAGACTTTGTCCTTCCTAAAACATTCCTAGCTTATTAACATAATGTAAGCAATGCTACACATTTCTATTACTATCACCATAATACATAGTGGTTGATACTCACATTTTATTTTCTTTCATTGTTAAACCCTAATTCTCTAAGCTAAAAATACCACAAGGAGAGCAGGGAAAAAGGAAACAAATGAGTTACCTTCTAGATATTAGTTTCTCAATACTGAGCAGAAGAACAAAATAATCCATGCAGGGCCAGATGATGAAGCATGCTAATGGGCAGGCATTCAGTCCCAACCCAAAATGTAACAGTTTGACTGCCAAACATCATCAAAGACACATCCTAAGTCCTGGTATTTCAGGAAAAAAGTTTATGACATGAGAATCCAAAGGACCGAGAGCTGCCTGCTTCAACCTCTACATGTATACCAAAATCTGTGTCCAGGGAGAAGAGTAACAACAGATTTAGCATTTTCATTTTTACTTAAGTAAGGAAACAAACAGGTCTTCTCCCCACCCAGAATGAGGAGCTGCCCCATCCCAAATTTCTAGACCTCACTATAGATAAGAAAGAAGACAGGCTTCATTTAAAATTAAGATCCTTTTAATCACTTAGCATCTGATCTAGAGTCCAAAATTCAAGTACCATGTAAAAGCATTTTAAAATGTAGTACTCAAAGAAATACACACACTTCCTAATTACTGAAAATGTTTTATGAATATCAGATTTCAATTTCAGATTTTTTTTGGAATATGAGGTCTTTGTGAAAAAGCTAGAAATTGAACTAAAGTAGTCAGAGCCACCCAAATCAAACTAAACTTTAAATGTAAACAGGCAACATGCTGAACCAGAACTGAGATGGGTAGCCTGTGTTTCCTGCTCTTTGAGCCTGGGACTTCAGATGTTAACGTCCATTTAGTGTAAGCACTTGGCAGCGTGCTGCCCAGAGCAAAAATAAAAAATACATCACCTACAAAGTCAGAAATTCCTCCATGTGGGATCATATTTACCCACAATAAAAATCATTTAGATCTTCAGAGCCACAGCATAGACCGCTGCTGTTTTAACTAACATTAACAACAACAGACGACTATCCTCTATGTAGAGCAGCACTAGAGAGCAAACCTGCCAGAGGGTTGTACAGCTGTTTTCTGGAAGAAGAAGAAGAAAATATAAGGATTTAGGATTTTTGTTCCATTACAGGATTCATAAGTGAGTACTTCACCAGTTAAAATACTCCAGTACCATCTGCTTCTAGTCTAGTCTGTTTGGTTCCTCCCAGCCACATTTCTGCCTATGCAGTTGCAAGACTTTGCTTTAAAAACAGGTGAGTGCCGGATGTCCTTAACAAAATGACAGCACGACTTAACAAG